ACACGGGCAGCACAGCTGCAGCGTTCCTGAGCTCGAGATGTCTCCTGTTACCCCTCCCAAACAGGCAATTTGGAAGCCAACATGAAGTTGCCGCTCTACTACTGCTTCTTCCCCTAGCACAGCTATGGCACTAATTTGTAAACAAACATAAATAATAATAATCATCACCACAACCTCAGAGCTCCTTCTGTAATTGCAGTTAAGACATAAGGTTTTATGGAATATACAGTGTAAACCAAAAGGTCAGAAAATATTTTAAAACTGCGGTAGAAACTTGTGTAGATACAATCTCAGTAACAGGACACACTCATTTGCAGCTGTCATGCCCTATTAAAACCGACTTTTCCTCTTTCTAGGGATTACCAATTAGTTCACTTAATTTCTGTTTTAATTTGCATGCTGCTCTTTTAATTACTGTGCAATTTCTGAAATCATATCTTCACTTGTTCCACATTTACAGATACATACAAATATTTCACTACCTCTAAAAAAAAAAAAAAAGCTTATCACAGGCTAGCACTGCCATCGCTCAAGCCCAGGGACAGCTGGCCTGACAACACAAAGCTTTGCCATGGGTGGGGGGAAGAAAAAAAAAAAGTAATAAAAAAATCATTGGGTCCCTAGGTGGTGGGATTTTCAGTAATCTGGTACTTGTGTTAATCTTCTTCCATGCTCTTTACAGACTTTAAACATGTAGTAAGAAAATTTTATTTAGTATAAAATACTTGTAAAGATCTGAAATGTAAATAATCATGTGGGTATTAGTATTTAATCTGTCTGCCTGTCAACTACATTAATCTTTGTGGTTTTCCTCTTTTAAAAATAACATTCCAAGTATATAAGATGTAGCCAAGCCACACGAAAGCTGATTGTCCTTAGGGCTGACCTACTGGCTAGTACCAGCAGGTTTAGAAGGAAAACTGTGGTTGTAAAAGGAGCAGGATTAGAAGAGTAAAAGAAAATCAAGTGTTTTCTTAACTATGGAAATGATAAAACCCACGGCCATTTCCTGGGGATTTAAATAAATAGCTTGACCACCTTATTGGTAACTGTTGATGAACAAGGATGTTAGGAGAAACCTCGTCTCTGGAACCCCAAATCTCCTCTAGACAAGTATAACATGTTATGATTGCATTCCATTAATTAATCTTATAGAAGTCCTGCCTGTACCTAATTAACATGAGTGACTCACCTTACGAGCAGGACTACCCATGTGAAGGTATGGCTGCACTCATGCATCACGGATGAGAAAGAGACATGCTACAGTTGCACATACAGCTCTGCACAGCCCACTTCTCCCTGCTGCACCACCACCACGGCTTTTAAAAGCTTACCTCTATCAGGACACCCTAATTCAAATAAAGCACTCGATACATGTAATTTTTCTCTCTCAAAGAACATACATGTTTCTTCTTTGAGTAAGACTACTAAAGCTTGAGCTACACTGTGGAAACAAGCAGACCTCTGTTGCTCAAAGCAAATTAGATTTACTTCAACTGCCACAACCTACTGATGTCACTAAAGGCAAAGTGTACTGGGTGATGACTGGTAAAAAATCATGGCTGATCCACCTTTAACTTGTAACAGAGAAAGGAAGTCCAGCAAGCTGCTCAAACAGAAAGAGGATTCAAACAGTCAGTGATGCATGCAATACAACAAGCTTGAAAAAAGTCAAAACTTCCTGCTGAGAAATACTTTCCTCTGTATGGACGGACACAAAGCTGATTCCCTACCTGCACCGTTCTCAATCCATCCCAACATAAAAACAACTAAAAAAGTGATTTTTCAAATTACACAATTTATTTAGTATACATGGTCATTACATCTCTTTACAACAATGTATTATAAAATAACTGTGTTAGAGCTCACCAGCAGAACACTGAAAGAAGAAATGAAAATATACTTATGGATCTCAAAGGCTTTTCTCCCCTAAAAACATACCAGCTACTTGATAACATTTTGTGATCTAAAAGAAAAGTCATTCACACCACAATTCCACAGCTTAAAAGTCCTTGTGGACAATGGGCAACATACACAAAAAGTCATGATGGTGCCATTCCCATCACTAGTTAGTTATTTGTAAGACTTGGGCAAACACATTACCACAGGGGACCTCCCTGGGGTGGATCATACTTAATACAATGAAACAGTGATGCCACAGCAGCCACTTGGAAATAAGGTGCATCGCAACAATGGAGTTCAGGAATAAGTAAAGTTACTTAAAAAAAAATAAATTGCACAATGTCAATGCAGTGAATATAGATCACAGCAAGACACAGGACGTAGAAAAAAGAATTCAGACAACTAAACCCCCACCTACCTCCCAGAAGGCTCAGGCTCCTGCTCCTGAACTCTCGGCCCAGGAAGCGCAGCCCTTTTTACCAGCGGTGCCCCAGCCCCAGCCAGCGCTGGCTCCAGCCTTTCCCAGCGTGCCTTGCTCTGCCAGGCAAGCCTTTAAATCACGGACAGAGAAGCAGCTGTTCCCTTTCTCCAAGGGGTGTGTTGGTGTGTGTTCTGCTTTCTTCTGAGCTGGTAAGTGTATTTGTTCCTTGGCATTTTCTATTTTACTGTTTTAAGGAGACTAGGCTGACTACATAGTCACAGAAATACACCCTGCCCTTTAGCATCAAATCTTTCTGATACAGGAACTGCTGGAATTGTTTAAAAGTGTCACAAGCTACCTCAGCTTTAAAGACTGCAAACTGCAAGAGTTAAGCCATCTCCAACATACTTTGCATTTAACTCTTCAAATTTCTGGCTGCTGCTTTGGAGGACGTTTGTGTTGCAAGAAACTGTTACTGTAGTAGTTCTGGATTGTGACAGCTGTTGGCTTTTATACTTTCCCAGGATCAAAGGTAGCTTGGAGTCTATTTGTTTTGGAAAAAAAACATCAACAAAACAAAAATAAATTTGCACTTGGTAGTTTCTACAAAAAGGTTAAATTTCTCCTTTGGCAACATTAGAGACTGTGTTTTTGAAAAAAGTCTATTTAAAAATAATTACTGTCACAGTCAGGACTTCTTAGTCTCAGCTGTTACCTACAAGTAAACCCTGAAAATGACAGGGTACCACTGCATCTTGGAATCTCTCATTTCAATCAGAAGAAAGTTACTCCACCTTTAAAGAAAGATACAACCACATTTTAAAATAAGATAATACAGCCTAGACATACTTCACCTTACGTGTGCTTGTTTTCAATTACTGTAAGGCACTCATTGAGGAATTCACTGACCCATGCTTTCAGCAAGAACAGGCATGCATCATTACAGGCCTAATTAAAGTTTTAATACTGATTAAAATGTTTTATTATTGTATTATGTTAAACTGCAGTGGTCTCCAACCTCATTAAGGGATACAGACTAGAAATTACTCAGGAGTTTCAGTTGCTCAGTTTAACAACCTAGCTACTGTCAATGTTTGATTTAAGTATAGTCTGATTAAAGCACACTTTCCTTTTCTGTTAGCATGAAAGTGCAGAAAGATGTTGAACATTGTTTAATGAGTATTTACTGAATATGAAATTGTTTGAGCATGTGACATAACCATCTCCATCTCTTCAGTAATTTACTTTAGTACAACTGAAAAGGGAAAACATTTAAATCATTTGGAACTGGAACACAGCTCAGTTGTGAAAGCTAATCTCATTACACATCTTGATTAAATTAAATGTGGAGTTTGCTATCAGTAGCACTTTAAGTTTCCCATCGTTAGAAATTAATTGCAGTGGTAATTATTATAACTGAGTTATTTGCACAGGCCACAAACACTCTTATAGGTGTTCAAATGTTAATTCAACATTGGCCTAGAGGCACTTGATTATTACAATTCTGTTGTTCGTAAGAAACAAATGATCCTAGTGGATGTCTAATTAAAGTTGGAGAGTACTGTTAGACTTTCAGTCAGACTTAATCTGTAATTCCAATATGAAACCAAAGCAGTGCTAAAACACAGCAGAAGTCATGTGTTATCTACATAGCATTTAGAAAGTCAATAAAATTCACAAAGTTCTAGCCGGTAAAAACACAAAGGATAGAAACAAATCACAAAATTCTCAGGATTGAGGCCTGTCTTCACTTCCCAGTCAATTTAAAATAACTTTTAGCATCTCTTTTTTAGGATAAAGAGCAAAGACACAATGATTTTGTGCTAAACTACATTGCTTCATGTCTGAAATAATGTAAAACAAAGCTCTAATGCCTGAACATATTTTAAATACCTAAGTTTCCTGCTTCCTGCTGATTTTAGAGATGAATTTTTCTTTTGTAAGGTTGGCAGTGTTCAATTTTGGTATCCTACTCCTGGAATTCACATGGGGAGAAAAAGGATCCCCTGTAGTTCAGAAAGCAAATACAGAAAACAGTGTTGTGAGAATCCAAGCTGAGAAATTTGGTTGTTTGTTCTGCGCATTTTATGAGGATACAAACATGCAACATGTATCAAGCATGCGCTGACCTTTATTTACACTAAAAATACATAACACTGCATCATTAAATGCTTAACACTATAAAACAGTATGTTTCTGTATCACTAAAAATGCTGGACAATGATTAAAGTTTTACTCTTCAAACTTGTTTGCTGATTCTGTACTCACACTCACAAGCTTGGAAACTCATATCCGCACACATTCCCGAAGAATTCAAAAAAGAGGCACTGAAAGAGCACAAGGATCTGTCAGAGGATCAGACCGTAAGACAAAACCTAACTTTTGTGACTGTTTTAAGGAATCACAAAGATAATGCATACTCAATATAGGAGTAGTGTGGCCTGCTTTCATTGAATTTCTCTAATTTTATACTAAAAAGTCCAATTTGCTGACCAGAACTTCATAGGCTAGCTATTCTGCAGTGGTCATGCAGGCTGCTCATTTTGTGTGTCTTTCCAGCAGTTAAAACTGAAAAACAATTGTATCTAGGTATTCAGCAGGTCAGACTCGATAATCAGAATGGTCCCTGCTTGCATTTATTTATTAATCTATGAAAATTTTGGCAACATCAAGAATGTTATCAAAACTAAACTGTCTAAAAAAATAAGAATCACAGTAATTAACCAAGAAACCATCAATGGAAAATGTCTCACAAATATAACGTGTTTGTAAACTTCCTCTGTGTTTTCTAACGTGGGTTCTAGCATTAAAATACTGAACTTGAAGCCATGGTAGGAAGTGTTATTTATGTTTAGCAAGTTTGTAAACATGGAATGTTTTGTTTTGAAACACTCTAGTGAAGTGTATGGTATAAGAAGGCAGGGTTTTTTTAATTTCCTCACAGAAGCGAGGATACAACGCAGGTTTCAGATCAGGTTCATTCTCTCCCAAACCATCCATGATCTGTAATGAAATTGAACAGACTTGTGAAATATCTTTAGCCAGTTCAAAGTTACAGGCAGTAACACAAAACTAAAAACAACCTCAACATCACATTCAGAGGGTCAGGCTGGCCAAATTTTTTAACAGTGACTGTATGAAACAAGTAGGAGGAAGAAAAAAACATTAAACCAGTAAGATTTATAGTATCATTGTCTCTATTATGGATAAAGCTGCTTCGTCAGAAGTATGTATCTGCTTTGGGTTCTGTGGTCTGCTGTGTGGTTCCATGTTAGCCCCAGAAATGCCTGAAAACTCCCCAGACACAATAGAATAATACAACCCTCCACTGATCCTGAGGGAATTGAAGCTATGAAGTGATTTACTCTGAAAGGGAACACTATTTGCATACTGCTGAAGCTCATCAGGAAGTGTTACTTATTTTGCCCAGGCTGAATTCCTCCTTTTTTTTAATTATCAAATACCATTAAAAGCAAGCAGTGTTCAATTTGGTGATTTGAGAATGTGTAATGGCTCCATTAGATTTCTACTTCCCACACTCATGCTGAAGTGGAAATAACCCAAGCTTCTTCAAATCGTAATTGTCTTTCAAAAAGAAGTTAAGCAAAATGTATTTTAAAATTTTGTATATAATACTTACATGGCCATTAGCTATATCAAGCAGGTCGCGTAACCGACAGCCTCTACTGTGTCTTCTTTCGTAGCAAATGCTGTCTTCTAGGATCACGTAGTCTGTGCCAAAGGATCGCAGTATTTGGTAAACATCTTCAGGAGATCTCTTAGCATAGATCTGATAAATCTGTAGAAGAAGAAAACTAAGCTGTAAGACACATTAACACTATTTCTTGTTTGCTCTTTCATGATTCCTTTATCTTGAACCAGAGAAAGAAATAATCCATGTGACTTGAATTAAGTATTTTCAAAAAAAAAAAAAAAGCTTCATTCAAGAGCCACTTAGAGTTTCTGTGTTATGGCTACTATGATGAACAGCAGTACTGCTGCTGACTGCAAAAACAGTGGATGGTGCTGCTGTCTGCAGAAACGCCTTGGGAGATGCCTGTAAAACCTTCAGAATGTCTAAATTATAGGAAAGGATAGTTTAAAACAATCTCTCCAGCTTTGTGTGGAGTTTCTCAAGGTGGTTTCTATCTAAAATGTTATGTGCTAGTTGAGTCTCAGGCAAATCAGGAAATGCTCCATGTGGGTTGAACAGCCCAACTGGCCAGCAGGATCTATTAATGCCAACAGCACCCAAACCAGTTCACTCGGAACTAGCTTGAGTACTGAGGTACAGGTACTCAGACATACACCAGCTGCCAGAAGTAAGTCAGCAGATCCCCAAAGTACTGTGAGTTTCACAGAAAAAGTTAAATTCTGGAACTGTATCTGAAAAGAAGTTCATTCTATGAGTAAAGCACATGATGTCATTTGCAATGTGCCGTTAGAAATTGCGTGTGTTTTCTGGAATGGAGCCACTGATATGGATAAGAATTAGCTTAAACAATCAGAATACTCTTACCTGTTTTGTTCTCTCTCTCAGATTCTTATCCTCATAATGGGGATGATTAGTTAAGGTCCGTCCAGTGCACAGTTTGACTCCTGCTAATAGCTGCATGCTCCCAGCAAACACTGCTGTGTTTGGAGTGTTTGACCTAAACAAATGTTGATAAGTCTGAGGAAGTCTCTGTAGGGGCATTTTTGCATTGCTTGTTACAGATCAGAAGGAAAAAAAAGACTGAAAAAATATTTTTCTGCCTCTCCTTTATTCAGGGAGCAAACTGTTCAAGCAACTGTGTCTTCTTCAAATATGAAGCAGATAAATCACAATAATACTCTCTAACTGCAAATAAAAAATTTATTATGCACTAGTAAAAAAAAATTAGGGAAAACATGATCCTGAAAATTTCAAACTACTTCCATATTTCATATATTTCTTGGGTTCATATAGCCTCTGAATATTTGTAAATTTCTATATCCTAATTCTTTTAATATTTCAAGAAACTTATTGTGACTTAGATTTGCGTCTGACATATAAGGTATTCTATACAAAATGGATTATTTAATCTGAATGCTAAAACTTCTGTTATTGTCCTGGCATTCACCATTCACTTGGAATGAAAACTTGGTTATGAGAGACATTAATTCTCCTATTATGACAATTCTGGGAGAGAAATTATGAAAAAAGTCACCCCAGTTGCAAAAAGCGGGGCGGGGGGGATGCAGAAGATGCCAGATAGAAAAGCTGTCAATTATTGGTACTGTGATCTCATCTGAAACTCAAAGCCAATGTCTAGAATTGTTATCTGAATAACAGTCTTGGTATCTCAGGATTGTTTAAATACCCACAAGGAAAAAATAATTGGTTGCTCACCTTACCCCCAACAAGTTTATAACCTAAAATAAATGTAAAGGCACAACAGAAGCACATAGCAAAAAGACAGTCAAAATGCCAGGCAACAGAGACCACTATAATTAGGCTAATTAAAAATGGTCATAGTATGTTTAAGTGTTTTCCAGTGCTTAGCAGGCATATAACCATGAAAAGTTCTATGAAGACTAAAACAACAGAAAGAAGCATACATCAAATCAAGTAAAATGAAATTGGAAAGGAAGGTGAATGGCTGCCTAACATCCACATACATGCACGTATGGCACCTACAGTAGTCAAATAACTGACACTTTGGGGTGGACTTTAGGGGGCCTTTTGAAACCACAGCTATATATTCAGTCTTCTTTAAGCTCCGTGATTGGCTTGAAAATGTTAAGAGATAAGTATTAAATTTTACTATCGTCTTTCAAGAGATTATGCTTAGCAAATGAATTAATAATTACAAACCCTTCCTAAAAATTCTTGCACTGGTATATTAATCTCATCTAGGAAGGACAGAGATAGTATTTTTAATAGGCCAGTTTAACTTTACTGATAGACTAGTTTTTCAGCAGTTTATAAAGCCAGTTTCATTTTAGTCTGAAAATATTTAATCTCTCAAAAAATGTCTTTTTTACTTAAAATATTCAAAGCCACAAGTGTCATGAAGTAAATGTTTCATTAAAAGAAATGAATTCATCTTAGAATTTATTATTCTGCAAATGTAATGGCCCTGACAGGCTGTCAGTGAGGACTCATCCCTGAATCTGCAGGAAAGCACAATTCTTTAGACTAAGCTGAAAAGAACATGGACTAGATTTCACAGAGGGACTTGGTAGAGCTTAGACACCTAAATGAAAATGATGATTCTCAAAGCACCTTCAACACGTTTCTGTGTTTATGCCTTGGCTGGGAAACTTCTGGTGTTGAAAGTCTGTTTCTGTGTTTGTTCAAGATTAGTTCAAATTTTGTAAGGCTCTGCAGTACTTATCTCCTGACTTGGCTTTACCAAGGCAATCCTGCACCTCTGAATCCTGAAGAGGCCAATGTAATGCAAACTTGCAGAATCAAACTTTCTTAAAAAAAAAAAACCCTCCACAAGTACCAAAGGCAAACCCACAAGAAAACATACATTCCCAAGAAACAACCTGATACCTCTCTTCTTACAAAAGAAAGCTAGAGAATGGTGATAGTGCCCTTTTCCCACAACTTACTGCCTGTCAAAAATGTAGAAGATTCAGAGTTCAATTCCTCCCCTTCTAAAAGCATTCACTCTTTCGCAGAACAGGTGCAATATAGCTGAGTGCATTCTTTAGTTATCAGGTATTTTAAGAGTTTTACCAGCACCTTCTCCTCTTCCTATGCCTTAAAAGCAATTTAGTAACCCTCGCTTGCTTTTCAAAAAACTGGCTTACGTGCCTCAGTCCTGGATGGAGTTCAAATTCAGGTATTCCAGGTGAAGGCAGATGTTTCCCTGAGACTTGGATTTACATGTTTGAAGTCCTAGAAAATTATACACTTTAAGACATATCACTGCCCATATTTTACTGGGGCCAGCTCAGAGGGTCCCCAGACCAAGTTGTGCCACTACCAGAGCTCCAGACACTCCTGGACTACCAGCTGGCAGTGGACACAAACCTGGCACTGGATTTCACTGCTGGGGACAGACACTTGGAAGCTGGGAGGTGACACTGAGCTTCATGCCAGTCTGCTCTCCTTAACCACATCTTGGAGACCTTCAGCTGGTTACTGAGCGTTTATCTTGTGAAACAGCCACTAGAGGGAGGTGTGACAATTAACGAATATTTTTCAGGTACAGGATGATTTCTACATTTCATGCAAGCGTCTTTCTCTAATACTCCTACCTGAGTTAGACACTAACTGCTGTGGTCTGTATCCAAGGCAGCTAATGTGCTTCAAACCACTGAATGACACTTCTCTATTATAGAAAAACGAAGCAATTTTTACAAATGTCTGAACAAATGATGTATAAAATGAAAGGATAATTTGTTTTTATAGCTTTCTGCCAAGCTCCATACCATACTGCCCAACCTGCAAACAATTTATTCTGTACGAAATGTCACTAAATAATGACAAGGACTTACAGGTCAAACTGATTTACATTATGTAATTTAAATGTCATTCCAAGCAGACCTGATGGCATTTTTTAACAAATAATCTCATTTATTTTTGAAGCTCTAAGCTTTCAACAAGTTAATTACAGCTGAACTAATGGGTAAACTAAGCACTATAATACATCGCATGAGGCTTTTCTTTACCTACACTTAACCATTTAGAGAATTATGTAAATACTAAAGAATAACTCATTAAAAATAAAAAGGTTTTACGGGAACTACATGTCTACGCCTAACTTGCACAGACTCTAAAAGTGGCAATAATGCTTTCTCTTATTAAGCTGCTGAAGAATTATTTTGAGTTGGTTTTAAGGAAGCCCTACAGAAATGGCCAACGTTGCAATTAGAGGTTACATCATTAGAAATAAAATGGCTATTTCTATTAAAAGTCCTCCAGAGTTGAACTCTGTAGTCTGCTTTCAAAGCTATAAAATCTGACAGATCTCAGATTATTCCTTAACTAGCGCCTGGGTGCAATATGAATCTACAAAGCAAAAGGGTGTGAGAAAAGGAGATTCTGAAAAGGGTTTCTCAAATATGCCATGTTAGGGGTTTTTTTCTTTAAAAGAACGTCTTTTTATTTGCAGAATGCTATATTAAAATATTACATTCTTAGCTGCAAATGTGATAGGCAGTAAAGCATATTCAGTCAAACTGTCATGGTTCTTTTTTTTCCCTCTGGTGTGGAAAGACTGAAAACTGCAAAAATGGAAAACAACAGCCACAAAGAAAGAGCAACAAGATGCATTTTTGTTAGTCCCAGCCTCAATTTTATGCATGCATATTTTGTTCACATAAAGGAGCACACCTACACAGTTGGTATAAACCTAGTTCTCAGGCACTACCAAGTTCATGCCTGAATTTTACTGACAAATCAGTCAATGACAAAGGATAAACCCAAGAATTTAAGAACAATAATTAAAAAAAAAAAAAAAGAAAAAGTGTAATATTGCCTTTAAAGTCTGGAATATGTGTTGATTTCAGTGTGATTACCCTTGAAAATCAGGCACGTAAGAGTGAAGAGTTAAAATTTATAGCTGGCTTGAAATTAAAATATAGCCATTAATCTAAATTACTAAATGAAAGAACCACCATTGAAACATGGGTATTCCATTTTTGTAACCTTAGGAGCCTTTTGGAGATTTGTGGGGTTTCCACTAATAAAAAAATTTGCCTGCTTGTCCCCCACACCTGTTTCAAGTACAGCTGACATACAACTATGCTCTGCCAAATCTCAGTCTCAGTTAACTTCTCCACTGTTTTGGCTGTGGTCTGAGATTTCTAAAAAGCTTTTTGATGATTTTTGGTAACTGCTTATGAAATATTCCACAATTCTAGACAGGTTTCCCCTTTAAAGGCAGAAGACATTGCTTCTTAAACACTTACCAGAAGTAAACAGAGTAGGGAAGTTCACGCTATTGATTTGCTCATTCTACTGATATTCTTCCCCATCTCACAAATGAGCATGTTGTTCCTGTTGTCTTAGGGAGAAAGACCAAAACTAAGAATTTTAATATACCTCCCATCTGGGAACACAGCTGTGAACTATCCCTGGGTCACTGGCAGGACCTTCTTGACTTATTTTTTTAAAAAAAAGCTAAGAAAATGAGGTGGTGGGTAGGAAAAAGCAAGAGACTGGGATATGCGAGATCATTATGTAAAAAAACCTGCACTCTGCAATAGATGCAGACCAGTCCTATGCAGTAACTGTGTTGTAAAGATACAAACCAGTATATCTTCCTGAAAATGCTGCGGTAATTTTAGTAAGGGGAAGAGTAAAAAATACATCTGCAGACACTTCATAGTGGACAGACTAATAGTTGGCTATTATTCAGATTGTATATTTGGACAAGTTAATATGCATTTAGATCTAAGCAGACAGAAGGGTTTTCTTGTTGTGGAGAGATTGCAAGACAGATGAGTTATTCCTAATTCACTGCTATAAATGACAAATTAGATCTTCTCATACCGAGTTTTAATAATGAATGATTAGTTCCTGACACCAACCTTGACAGATCATTAACTACAGCAGAACTATCAAGCGTTAGTATAGTAAAATATTTTTCTTACACATCAAAACTTAAGAAAATCTGTCCCACTTCGAGAAACTTACCATAAATTTTGTTGACTTTTATTTAAAGCATAGATAATTAACTCTTTACATGAATAATATTTCTAAACACAATAAATTCTAAGTAGAAAATTTCCCTCTGTAATTGTCTGTCATGATTTAAAATGAAAAGAGGACAAGCACCAGTTTAGCATTCTCAGCACTAAGAACATATGAAAAATTATTCTCATCGGATCCAGTCAAATCCAGTTCATGGCTGGGAATAACTCCACATGCATATTTTATGTATAAATCTATATATAACTCCATATATTGTACACAGGAGATCTGAACTATCAGACATTTACCATCTTTTAATAAAACAGTAGTGCTAAATGGAACTGGCTGGTAAACATTAGTCACAAAAACGTGTCAATATGGCTGCAAAGATTCTAAATGATGGAAAAAAACATGGCCTGCTTTCAAAATAAGTCAGTGAAGGCTTGTAATGTATTTTACTTCTAAATTACTCCTTCTAGTTTATGGATTAAAGAAATACAACATTATAGAGTGTAAATACATTGCTATGGATAGAACAGGCTGGGCAACTGGTTTCACTGAAGTTCATTGCATATGAAAACACAATACAGGGCTCCAAGGAAATACGTCAAATAGTTCAATGCTAAATGTAGTAAATTCAGATTTACTTTCAGAATGTTTTCCTTCAGAACATGAAACTGATTTTTTTTTTTAAAATCTTTGTCAGAGTTCCAAATAAATAAGTGCCAGGAATATCTCTGTTCAGGACTTAAACTGAAAGTTTTTAGTGGTTACTGTATGTTAATAGAGAACATAACCCTTAAATTCATGGTTCTCCAGAGAACATCCTACCTGGCTCTTTTTCTCAGGATCTTCTACATGCAGTATTCCAAATTATTTCCACCTAAAAAATACCTTCCTCTGCTCTGTGCGAAAGCAGAAGTGATGAGGTGAGACTGAAATGATTAACTCATACTCCTGAAAGAGACTTTGCACCTATGCTTAGCTGTGGCAAGTTCAATTACAAATATTTTGTTTACAGTTTAGAACACATATTTTGATTAATTCTACTAAGTGTAAACAATTCAGATTATTTTAAAGTTCAAGAAACAGACTGTACAGATTTTCCAGCCCTGCAACTGTACATCCAAGCTTTTTAAAATTACAAAGTTGAAAAGAGAAGGAAACCAGGTTGAAGGAAAAACTAGAAATAAAATTATTTCACTGCAAAAATCTATTAATGTAAAGAGGTAGCTATAATATGATGAAGCTTGACACCTTCAAATGGACCTCTTTTGGCTGGGAAAACTGCGTGTGCTTATGGGAGCAAACAGAGTCAACTGGTTCCCTGATGCCCAGGCAATACAGCAGCATGACACTGAACCAGAGCAGAGCAGCCTGGGGGACGCTGCATCTAGCTGTTCTCCACAGCCATTAGTATGCTAACCTCCTGATAGCCCATTCATTCTTAACTATCTCCATGGGTCACCAGAGTTCACTGATGAGCTGTGACAAAATAAGGAGAACACTATAACTAAGAACATTAGATCTACACAAATAGCATTTAACTTAAATAGAGAAAAAATCCTCTTACTTAATCCAGTTCATCAGCTCCACAGTGTCTGGGTCATAGAATTCTCTCAGCTCTGACAGTTCATCCATTATTCCTGGCCAGAACTATAATGAAAACAAAATAAACCAAACTGAAGACAGAATGAACACAACAAGTTCTGGATGTTGAAACATATTATTTCCTCTTAGCTGGTAACTGATCTTGTCCAGCTCAGGGATAAGTTGCAAGACATAAGCGTATCTACCCTTCTTACGAAGGATACGTGGCTGTCATTGCAGTATGAATATACGGCTCCAGTGTTTGAGATCTGCAGCTCCTGCCAGATGACTAGGAGGAACAGAATTAACTGTTGTGGTGAGCCTGAGAAGAACAGCTTTTCTCAGATGTGCATCTCACTGGAGGTTTCCAGAACTCTCTTAGTTAAGATCAGTTTGTATCTTAAAATTGATGAGAAACCAAAAGTTGCCACCAAATGACTGTTGTGCATTGTATCTACCTTACAAGCAAAACAATTCAATTCCCTGGACTATAGGATGAATGTTAATGTTTTAAGTTATTTCTTGACAAAGCTTCAAGAAAAGGAACAAGACAAAGAGGCATCAGGTAACAGTTCAATATGTAACAGCCAAACCGTGAAATAATGCCTATGATTACAGGAGGAGGAAAGGCCCTAGGAATTAAGTTTGGAAAAGCAACTTACAACTAAATAATAAAATAGGTAGGAAATCTGTATCGGAAGTTAAAATCATTAGATGTGCTGTGGGTGCTATTAATGGCATTTCAGAAGTTTGAATTCAAAGAGAACCACTGAAGGAAAAAAGAGAAGTGTGACTGAACGGCAACATCCGATACACTATTGGGGGAAAACATTTCAGAATTTACTGAAGACAAAGAATACATAAATCAAATTCAGAGGAGAGAAATAAAGATTGAAATTGATTCTGAAAAGCTTAACTGCCCCAAAAAATGCTAACAGAACAAAGATTTATTTAAGGGTTTCTTGTTGTTTAAGCTAGTGAATATTCAAGGGCAAAAGGGAGCAATTAAGAAAGATAATGACAATGCTAATGACTAACTGATTGCTTTGCATCAGTCTTTACTACAGAGGATGTTATGGTGAAACCTATTCCTAAACCTGCTTTCTTTAGATAATAAGGATTGCTGGCTTGCAAAGTGAAATGTCAGAGGAAAAAGTGTAAGAAAACCTGCCGGATAATCTAAAAAGCCATAAATCATCCAATTTAGATAATATTCATCCAAGAGTTCAGAAGGAATTTAAATGTGATGCTGCTGAGCTACTTAGCAAAAATATGCATTCTTTCACTAAAACTGTAATTATGTAGGAGGACTGGGGAGCAGGAGATATAATTGGGCCAGTGAAGATACTTATTAGTTTAACTGTTTATTTGATACATTTGTTAAAGTAATACCAGCTGTTAGACTGAGAAACATCTACAACATAGTTATGGCAGTATCACAACCTCACAGTTTTGGGAAGTACAGTAATATTATAATAGACACATTTCTGCTCTTCAGAGAATCTCTCGAGAGATTAGTAAATAAATTAAGCAGTTGTGAAATGAGACTGTAGTCTCATAAGGAATCAAAATTTTCTCTCTTCATTGCTAAATGACCCCGGATAGCTACACATTTGGAGAGCCTGGAGTCCTTCAGGCTGGAGACAGAAAGAAATGGGCTCTGCTTCGCTTCTAGAACATGCTGCAAACCTGCCCTGCAATCTACTGAGAATCTAATGACACTGCGCTGTCTACTAAATGCTGGGACTACTATAAGGCGTTAACTAATCTATGTAAGTTTTTCAAGTCGCAATGTCATACTATTGCAAGTTGTGAGTGAGTACAAGCAGTTTTCACTGGAGGAAAATTTTGGTAGCGGGGCTTGCTATCACTGAATTTAAAAAGAGAATTCTGAGGTAGCAACACAGGAATTTTGTTCTGGACTGTAAAAATCTTAAGGACTTGTAATTTCCAAGAGCCTTAAAAAATACTTGTATAGGAAAAGGTAATATGAAATGATATTGCTGAATTTCATCAAAACCAAAAAGCCAATAAAATGGAAAGGTGGCATACTCTATACTGATAATGGGGAATATCTTTTCTAAGGTATGTAATTACTCATTGAAAAATATCACTAAGACCTAGAATCTACAAAAATAAATGAAATAAACTCTGAACTTGATGACAAGACTATAGAAAGAAATTGAACTATTAGGTGATTTAGGTACTGAAGTTTTTGTTCCCCTACCCTAGCTCCTTGGTGGATACAAGACAGTTTTTAACTTTCAGCAGTAAAATTAAATCTTTTGTGAGTGAAAACATTCTCCCAACTCTCTATATTGTAGGAAGATTTCAGCTGTCTTTCACATTTGTTATCCTTCTGGCTCATGATCATGGATTTCATCCAGTATAACAATGCTTAAGTTTCTTATTGAATGTGTGGTGTGCTTTGGATTTTCAGTGTACTTTGATTTATTAATAGTTACTATCCCCAGATATATATATACATGTTGAGCATATACACTTGACAATTTTTAACTCAATGCCTGTGATAAGAACCCAGAGATTTTTAAAGGCTTGCAGCTTTTCCCCACAAACAGCCTATCTTTTTCATTCTAGCTAGAAAGTCCACAGTTAGACAATTGTGCTAGCCACAAACTTGGAGGTGCTGAACACTTCACTGATGATTATGGAAGTTCAATACTTCTCAAATACAAGGACATTTATTTTGAATTTGAAAACTATAAGCATTAATGCTTTGGTCTCTTAAGTGAAAAAGCACGTACTCCTACATTATTTATAGTTACTGTTACCCTAAGAATGACAATTAAGAATCTCCTTTGAGAAACAGGATTAGATATTATGAATAGAAATAATAGACTGTCAAGCTTACGAACTTCAGGTTTAAAGGATAAATACATACTGTACATACAGGGAGCTCTTCAGTACAGCCGAAGACTGCTCCAATCATTGGTGTATGTTGCGCTATGTGCTGCAATAAATGTATATGTTTGGAGCAAAAATACGTGGCCATGATGAAGATAAAAATGCAGTTTGAGAACTTACAGGAATGGATAGTTTACTAGCAAAGAAAAAATTAAGATTATTTGGCAAAACCAGAAATTATAGACTTGCTGAACCTCAGGAACTAATTTTAAGTACCAACAATTTATTTACGAATGACTGACATACAAATTGATGGGGGTTATTCCGTTGAAGTTAAATGCAATGGACACAGACACAGCTGAAATCTATCTATAAAGGGTATGAAGTGAAACATAAATAATATTTAGTACTGCATTATATATGTGTGTTATCTGCAGCACAGCTAAAGTATGCATGGAAATACTTCAGCACTTTCACTTTATCTAAAAGATGTTTGCGCTATACTAATGAAGAAAACTTGTGTAAACAGAAATATACATGTCTTACAGGTCTCAAAACATACTGTACCTGAAATCTGAAAGATAGCGAGCATTGTAGCTGCATCTGTATCTCAATAAATTATTGTTCAAGTGATGTATTTGGGACTGTAGTAACCACATGCCTCAAAAGAGGCTTTCATTAGGCTTATTCAGGATTAGATTAATAATCCCATAAAACTCCTATTTTGAGGAATGGCAATAAAGAATAGTTCTTCTGACAAATGTAACCATAACAGGTAATAAAACACAAAATTGCCCTACTACTCGTTCAAGAAAACTAGCCATGACCACCAGCTAACTTTGCGGTGACTATGCAAGCTGCTCATGCAATCTGAGCAGTCACAGTGCATGAGCAGCTAAATTCTTATCTGGAAAGGAGAAAGATAAGTAAGTCTCTGTTATCAAAATCTACTTTCACTGTTGGTTTTTTCAAAAGGTTTTAGAGAAAGAATATATAAACACATTCTCACAGAAGCAATGGATACTTTCTGGATCTCACTCTGTAAGAACTGTTATTCTGACCATCGCCAGGGAATCTGGTGACAAGTTTTATCTCTCTGTCAGGCACGCTTCTTTCCTGCAGGCTCACTAACTCTTACAGCTTGGCAGAAAAGACACACGCAAAGATATCCACTCCTCTGGCAGCTGAACCACAAAAACTGACTTAAGAAAAAAAATAATACTGAGAGGTGATATATTTCTTTATTCCCACTGAGCACTTTAAAAAAATGGTATTTTTAATACCAATAACAAATGTTTCCTATATTTAGAAGAAACACAAAAAATGAGGCTTTTCAGGCAGACTGAGCACCACTAATGACTGATCTAAAGCCTATAAAAATCAGTGACTTCTGCTGACTTCAGAATTGAATCTGACAGGATTTAGGAACTTCACATCTGCTCATGAAGAGTGGGAGGAAAATTATTCCTAGTTGATCTGTCACATTAGACTACCTATTAGAATGTCATGCTGTTGGCATCACTCATATCAAAAGAAATGGCATTAATTCTATCACTTTCAGAGATGATGAAAATGGTAAATGACTCCCCTAACCAGCATACCAATGGAAAAAAAAAAGAAGTCCTAAAAAGTCCTCCAGTAGAGTAATAAGAAAATTTAAGTGTAACTTTACTAAACAGTTACAGTATTTTTCTGACTTTTCGTTTCCCTGTTTTAAAGGGGGAAACAGACTTCCAGAGTGAACTCTACTAGCAGCATTCTTAACTGTTATGCTTTACTATTACCTTTTTAACTTTAATGCTAAAATTCGCCTTGAGTTTCTCTGAAGGCAATTACTTAACAGAACTATTCTCATCTCACACTAGGTATTGCAGAAATAACTTCTCCATCAAAGTAGCATCTGAATTTTTTGTCTTTGTAAATACAGATTAAAAGAACAGTATGCCCAATAAATTAATGTTCTAAATCTCACTGCTATGACAGACTAACAGATTAATAATCTTGTACCTATTATTATTTTAAATGTTTTATGTATTTAAACATTTGACCATAATAATAATTTGTTTCTGAGACAGACTGAAGATAATATAAGTACTTGACTAGTTTAAAAATTCTGTAGCTCAAAATATATGAGATGGGGCACCGCAGTATAGAATGTTATGATTATTTCCTACAATTAATCATTATGCACTTTAACAATCTGCATCTTATCTGCAACTTAGTTGAAACCAAAATAGACAACTTACATTTCCATAAAATGCATGTAAATCACACTTGATAACTTACACATACAATCAGACAAACATTTGAGCCCAACTGATCCTTTACACACAATTTTGCATGCATAAAGGTACTTGCTCTTTACACAGTCTATCCCAATTTTTAAAATTCAGTTACAAATCTTGCATGTAATTATTTATGAAACAACATTCCTTTATGAAAAAAGGAAAATGCCATGCAACTACAAAATGCCAAAACATCGACAAAAAAAATTTTCTTACCTTATATGAAATGTATAGTAATATAATTACTGGTATAGAATACTTAATCACACGTGTCTAAGAGAAATAAAAAATAATAATAATTGGTTATTCTGATGATACATATATTTGGACTTAATTTTTAATGTATTGACATCTGACATATTTATCATGTGGTGGGATTTTAAAAGTTTGAATTTTAAGACCATATTCTGATCTTGTTTTCAAGTAAAACCTTTTTTACAGACCCACCACAAATGATGGATTTATATCTATATACTTAAATCTATCTTTTACACAGTGGAAAACACTGTATCATTCAGTATAATAGACTGTAAAGGTCTTCTCAGACTGCCGATGATTTCTTAATATGGTGACTAAGACTTTTTTAGGAAAATTGTAATTATTTTTTACAGCTGCATCTATATTGCCATCTAGTGTATTCAAATGGAATTGTTTAATACATAAACCACTAGAAAATACATTTTACTTACTAAATTTATACAAATGTACTTCAAAGATATCCAGTTGAAGAGGACTATAAACAACATTCATTTCAGATGTCTTATAATTCTGAGTCTTGGTTTAGCTATACAGCAAAAACAAAATTCATGAAATGCTGTAAGTATAGTGCTGACCCTCTGTGATGTGTAGAGATGAATACACTTCAGGATAAGTTTCCATACTTCTGTACTGCACAGGCCAAAAGACGCAAATACGCACATGTGGGACGTCCAGAGGTACTTCATTCTGGAAGAACAGAGACAAGTTTTTGCTGATCATCTGGAGCTCTGTTAAGTTGTGTTGATGAGAGCAGTTATGTTACAAATTCTGAACACACTTTTCTTGGACTATCAGGACTGTGAAATAACTGAATAAAAGATTGTCTTTGCACTTTGCTATGTGCTCTTGAGGACATCTCTGCTCCCAAGTTTGCAAACATTTTTTTTGGCAGCATCTTGGGAAATGCCTCAGTCTACAAGCAGAAATGCACCAGGGAGAAAAAGAAGGTTCATGATCCTATCAGTTTGTGATCAGCATATTTTACACTCTTATCAAAATATACTCAATTGTCTAAAGAAGCCTTTAGCAGAATTAAAAAAAATAAAAAATACCTCATTGTGCTTAATGCCAGACATCCAAAAAGGACTGTGTGCAGTAAGTTGTAAGCAGCATCGGGCTTCAGTGTTATTGTGCATTCTTCCATTTTTTCCATGAACTGAACTTGATTTGAACCACTGATTAAACAGAAGAAATAAAAAGTGTTACATTAAGTTCTGTAACACATTTCATATAGCTATCTGTATTTTAAAAAGCATTTAATCCTTCTGATGCTAAAGAGCAATACTACTGCTATCAGTCTACAATCTTCTATTGTATCTATGATACAATTAAGCCTGATAGCACCAGCCTGAAGCAGCATCAAGAATTTATTTTCATGTCTGGTTTTCTGGAAATGCAATGGGTTTAAATGAGCTGTTTTAAAACAACATAAAATTGTTTACAGAAAGGCATGCTTGGTTTGTTGCTTGAAGCAGCTACTCCCACAGAGTTCACAGGGCTTTTGATGAGAGTGAACTTAACTGTTTTTTGTGGGGCTGTGCTGGTAGATCTGGACACTACTAAAGCCATATATTGGAAGTAAGTTTACAGTAAAGATGTGCTGAAAGAACTTATTATTGCTTGATGTGGCTAGTCTTGTGAACCTATGTGGAGGACTGATCAAAAAAAAGAAGCTGCTTAAATGTGTGGGGTGTTTTCCTGTTCTTTCAGGTGGGGGATAATTGAGATCACTGGACAATGTTAACAATTAGGTTAATGTTTGGGATTACATTTAGGATTACAGAAATAAGAGCTGCAGAGTATTTTGTTTGTTTTTAAAATGGATTGATGCAGTAAGTTTTTTAAGAGGCTGGTTGAATAATACCAAACTGCCTTACAGATGACTATGACTTCACAATTATCATAACATAGTTTTAGAATCACAATGTCTTAGATCCTCTCCCTCTTTCTCCCCCTTTTATCCTGTTTTCCATAAAATCTATGATGAGTGGCATTAGTTATGTAATACTCCTTGAATTTTTGCTTAATCAAGTTTTAGATTATCCCTTCTAACTTTTGCCCAAGTTATAAATGTAAAACTGAGAGGTCTATAATGAACTATTTACCATCCCCCCCCACCAGTTCAGTACCAATTTTCTTCTAGTGTTCTGTAAATTCCTCCAAATCCTACAGATCAGCTGCAGGAACTGGCAGCAGCGATGCACAGTTGCAGTCTACCACTCCTGCTTCTTCATACAGACCACAGGAAGTTCAGCACAGACTATCCCTAACTCATTTCAGGGCAGTTTGAGGATACCACAATGGAAATCTTCGGTTGGGAGTGCTTTGCGCAGGGAAAATGGGGTGAACTAAAGAAACTAATATTGCTTTCTATAAATACACCCTTCCCCTGCTTTCCCTCCTCGCAAAAACACTCCAACCAAAGAACCGTACACATACTGCAAAACTTCAAAAGCAAACAAAAGAACTTGAAAGAATCTAGGGAAGAATGTTTCTTTGTTCAGTCTCATTACATCCTTTACATTTTTAGCTTTAATAGGAAGTTACTTATTTTGCCTGATCTATTTTATGTCCTACTGTTTCCTTAGTACCTGTGGAAAGTAATACTGTATGCTACTGTATTCAACTGTCAGTTCCTCAGCCTGTTGAAGAAGAGAAAATTGGTAAAAATGTGTATTATTTTAAAAACATATTTTACCTGAGGTTCCGAAAGGCAACAACTATAGCTGCTACTGTCATAAGGAAGAGAACAAATATGTAGACGTAAAAAAGCAATGTAGCTGAGAGTCTTGAAAAAGTATTTAACGGTAGTAAACCAAAGGCTTCTTCGCAAAGATACAGGTTAGCATCAAAATCTCTAAAGAAAAAAGAATAATCCTTGTTTTCATGTATTTGGTAACTTGATGTCAAAAAAGATCAAAGTTTCCTTTTTTTCCCAAGCAATTATAAAGCCACAGTTGTGCATGTTATTATGAAGGAAAATATATGACACAAACATGAGGTAAAACCCCATGATTTATCACCGAGATTTTCAATGAGCAACAACCTGCAGGCTGCACTTAATGAAGTCAGACAAAAAAGTAAAATTGCAGCTAAACCATACCTTGTTGCCCCAAATCCAAATTTTGCTTTCAAGAATTTGAATATATGTTCATCTGACTCAAGATTAAGAATTTTCTATGAAGGAGGAAAAAGAAAGGAAATTATATTCTAAGTATCAAAAAATTAAACTTCACACAGTAAACAGATTTTTCATCATTTAAATGAAACTGTGAAGCAACACAGCCTTCCTGAGATAGGGTGCTTTGCAATCAAATAAGCATTCAGTTTGTAATTATGGTCCTGTGGTCCAAAGGGCAAGGTACTTTTTAGAATAACTATTAGGGTTAGTTTCTTGTTTACAGATAAAGATTACCCAGGAGTTGGTTTTAGCTGTATTTTTTTATTTCAATGACTTATCATATCTTACTGTGATACTTTTACTTTCCATGTGTACTAAATTTTAATCTGTTGATATAGATCTCTTGAAGAGACTAAAATTCAAAAGCAGAAAAAGTGTTACTGTCACTAATGTCTGCAGATATCTCTGTGCAGAAGCAGCACATAAAAGTATGGTATGGTCTACAACATTTTTATAACAAGTATTCATTTTAACTGCATTTACTGAAAAGTAAATTCAATGAAAAACTTTGCAAATGCTCAGCAGTATCAGAATGCAGCATAAATGTACTCTTTTATAAAATTACAGGTGAGCGTCAAGTTATGAATACGTATTCGATTATTTGGTGTTGATTTATGAAGTTTTAAGAATATGTTTTAAAATCTACACACCAAAAAGATTAGCAAAATGATCTTTCATTTCTAAAACGCAGTCTCTGAAATGCAGTGAAATCTCACTGCTTTTTTTATTTAATGATATTCTTGTAGATGATTAACAAATAGCTTTTAACGTAATATATTTTGTAAGTTTTTATTTTAAAAACTATTTGCTTACCTTGATGAATTTATTTATTAGGAGAGTGAAGCACAAGACCAATAGCACATGGAAGATAAGTTTCCCAAGCCTGTTAAGCAAGCTGCCCTTTTTTAGGTGTTTCTAGAAAGAAGAAAATATTAGTGTTTCAGTACATTTGTATGTATATAGAACAAAAGCAACACAGAATATTTGAAAGAGGTTATCTGCTAGGCCTGATCAGGATCACATTTGCATTAGGTTCATGTAAGCAAAAGTGTATATATAACCAAGTATCCAGAATAAAAATATATTTCTTCCACAAAATTGAAGGGACAGTATCATTAAAACTCCCCAGTGTAACGATCTGGCAGAGTTTTCTAACTACTCAAATAGTCTTCCTTCAGAGGTGGCCCTATGGTATTTATACAACTGCTGGCACCCAGTGCAACTGTGGTTGTTTTCCAAGATTCCCCTAATTTCAATAGTATTGTGTGTCTTTTGAAATACCTGTTTATTAGACCTTCCACCTAAATGTGGCAAAGGTGTCTTCTGGCTCTGTCAGTTGATAGGATTGTGAGCAATTTTCCAGTTCAATGCTCCAGATCTGAGAACGGTTCTTTGGCTACTCACAGGGAACTTGGAATAGGTGCAGACATTGTCTAACTATAAAACCCACAAATCTGATTTTAAAAGGTCATGAGTGAGTTTTCAGGAATGGCCCTGTAAGTTCATATATTCTGGTTAGAGGCTGTTGTTAATGTCGGTATCAGAAAAGAGAACTGTAAATACAGGAAAAAAAATCCTAATCTTTGAAAGAAACAATAGATTTCAGTAAGCTGAATGTGACATGTGCCAAGTTCTCACAGAATATTTTGTTGGCGGCAGATCCATAAATACAAGGCAAGTCCT